CAAATTTTGGAGGTGAATCTACCGTCCCTATCTGACACAAAAGATAAGGACTCTCCATGAATCTTTATGATTTCCCTTACCTGCCAACTTCTGCATAGACCAATCCTCCCGTGCTGTTATAAAATCCGCACTCTTTGTAAGTCGGCTTACTATAACTCATGTCATGTCATGACCTCTCTTTTTCTTCAAAAACTTTGTTATGAATTATGTGGTAACATCATCCTATTTCCCTATGGGTGCTGGTAAGGGTTCTAGACTCCCATATGGCTTCTGATGTTGTGCCTTCACTCTCTCACAAGTTATGCATTCCGTTACGTAACTTGTTACCCCGACCTTCATTATCGGCCACCAATAACAAGGCTTCATGTCTAAGTACATTTTGGTGTTGGCTGGGTGTATAGAATACATAGTCTTATGAGATTCTTTCTTGAGAAGATCCCATATCCCACCTATCTTTGGCACCCAAATGAGATTCTTAAACTTCTTAAACCTGTGTTTGTCTTCTTAAAACATGAATGTCTTGCCTAGGCATTCTTCTTATAGATCACTCTCAACTAGAGCCCTGATCTGAGCTTTTTTGATCTTCTCCATAATCGTTCAGATTACTTCAAGCTTCAAAATATCTAGCTCTCTTTCTTTCAGGAATCACCTTTCTACTCAGGGAATAGGCTATAGTATTTGCTTTACCCGAGTGGTAAACTATCTCACAATTATAGTTCTTGAGTAGCTCCATACATCGCCTTTGTCTCATATTCAACTACTTCTAAACAAAGAGATATTGGAGGCTCTTATGACCTGTATAGAGTTTGCATTTGATTCCGTAAAGATAATGCCTCTATATGTTTAGGGAAAAAACCACTACTGCAAGCTCTAGATCATGAGTTAGATAAATTTGCTCGTGGGAGTTTTGTTGTCTTGAGGCATAAGCTACTACTTTTTCCCTTTGGGTAAGAACACATCCTAATCCAATCTTAGAAGCAACACTGAAAACTACAAAATCTTCATTTCCTTCTAGTACGACGAGGATTGGTGCATCGCACAATCTCTTCTTTAATTCACCAAAATCTCTTTCTTGCTTCTTGCTCCAAGTATAGACAACTCCCTTTTTTGCCAGAGCAACAAATGGAGCCTCAATAGAAGAGAAATTTTGGATAAATATTCGATGTGGGATTCTTTGGTTTCTCCCACTTCCTTACAACTTCTTTCTTTGCTAGTTCAACCATAATACCTTCCTGGTTAATTACATGACCCAAGAACTGAATCTCCAATATCCAAAAGTCGCACTTTGAGAACTTTCCATAAACCTTCTTCCTCTTAAGGACTTCCAGTATTTCTTGAAGATATTTTCTATGATCTTGATTGTTTTTGGAGTAAATCAAGATGTCTTCTTTGAGCACTATTGCTAATTTATCGTAAAAAATGTTTACAAACTCGATGCGTCAAATCCATGAATGTTGTTGGGGTATTTGTTAGTCTGAACAACAAAATAAGGAATTCATAGTGTCCATATCGGGTTCTAAAGGTTGTCTTGTCGATATCTGCTCTCTAATCCTTAACTGGTGTTAACCTGACCTGAGATCAATTTTGGAGTAAACAGTTTCTCCTTGCAATTGATTGAGCAAGTCATCTATCCTAGATAAAGGATACTTATTCTTGATCGTAGCTTTATTTATCTCCTGATGTCAATACATATTCTCATAGTACCGTCTCTCTTCTTTATGTATAGTACTGGAGCTCCCTAGGGTGATGAACTAGGTTGTAACATTCTAAATTTGGTATGTTTCCATCTTGACCCCTTAATGCAAATTTCTATCTTTTTGGTCCCCAGCTAGTACGCGGGGCATACTCTATGAGTATGCTAAGCATGCTAGAACATTTTTTGGACGCGGGATTCACCCACATACAATGGGCGTACTTGGGAGTATGCTGGGTGTATAGTAACAGGGGGAAAACCCTAATTTTTAGGGTTTGTGCCCTATTTAAGCAACTTATGTTTCCTTGATTGCATCTTTTTCCCAACCTTTACTCCATAATACCCTAAGTACGAAACCCTAAGTGCCTTTTCTATGTTTAAGGTTGCTTGTGAGATTTTGTGTTGTTTTTAGTGATAAAGAAGAAGAACACTTGGAAGTTTCTTGGGAGTAGCTTGAGCTTCTAGATCCAGGGTCATCTTCATCTTAGCAAGTCATTTGAGGTAAAAAGCTCCCATCTTGATGATTCTTTATGCTAAACCCAACTTAGGGTGTTATTTATGCATTTTGGGGTCTTTTGAGCTAAAGTTGATTTTATTATCCACCCTAGATGCCATGGATGTTAGATTTTAGCTCCATTGAGGTCCCTTATCCTTACAAATGTAATCTTTATGAGAGATACATGTTCATGCATGAGTTAGAGCCCTTATTATGGGTCTTAATGGAAAAAATTTGGTTTTAAGGTCCCATTAAGAGATGCAAGATGATAAAGTTGCCATATTTATGCAACATGGCTTTAAAATGAAGTAAATCTGAGGTTAATAGCTTAAGTGGTTAAGTGAATGTTGGCCAAAAGCGACTCTGACCAGCGTGCGGGGCATAATCCCTAGTACGTTGCGCATACTAGGTTATATTCTTGTCTCCAAGTTAATGTTTGTACGCCACGCGTACGGGAGTACGTTGAACGTACTCGGTATAGTGGGCTTTGACGTTTGGGCTTTTCGACTCAGGTTTATTTTGGGCGTTTAGGGTTTGGCCATGTTAGGCTATTGGACTTCTGAATTTACGCCATGGATAGACTAAGGGATTTCTTGGGTTTAGTTCCATGATCGTTTTGGGCCCAATTTTGAAGTTGGGCCATGATGCGCCTTAGGATGTCATTAAGGATTTTGGGCCTTTTGAGTAAATGGGTTGGGCCTTGTTTTGGGCCAAGTAAGAAAAAAGGTAAAATGGTCTTTTTACCATTGATATTGGACAAGTAACTTAGATTCTTGATTATGGGTTGAGATCTAATAATTAATTGGATACTATTTCATGATGTTAGCGTGGGGATTTTCCATACCAGCAGACTGAGATTTTATCTGAGAGATTGTACATCTTGAAGTGAGTTTCCTTAGTGTGTATAGTGGGTCGAAGGCACCAATGTCGGCCCATGGTGGTTATGTTTTGGACGCTAGTTATCTGTGCTAATCTTGCATGTGTTATGTAAGTAATACTGTTATGCAAATTAGTATCTGTATCTACAAATAAAACTACTTGTGTGTATATGAACCTTGTTGTAAGTCTCCAACCTAAAACTAAAATGTAAGTGATGTGGTTCTGGAAAATAGTTTTAGTAAGATTTATCTTTTGTGAAACTATTAAGTGTACTCTAGCCCATAAACCAATATGTTTTGTAAATACTCTAATGTGAGTTATCATAACCATGCTAACGACTAGTTGGCCTGCTACAATGTTCTTCAGGCATCGGAACTGGAAGACATTTGTCACCCTAGACTGGCTGGTCTAACTATAGAAAAAAATTGAGGTATGGGGTTGTCAATCCTGTATAGATCGATACACAAGTGTCACGCTCTACTTATAGGTGACATTGGTTATAATTTAGGACTTATGTGTGTACTCTGGTTAGTATGGTGAAACTAAATGTCTCACAAGTTTGTTTGAACTAGTTTACGTCTATTGTACTGAAAAATCGTATTCTTGTAAATGAAATAATTATATCATTAAATAATTATATGATTCTTCTAAAATGAAAGTGTAGTTTTGTGAATTCACAAACTATACCAATTATAATTTATTATGTTTGTTTTTCAAGAACATTTATATAAATATGTAGTAATTATCTTGTCTAGTTTCAAATGTAAGGTCAAAACACTATATTTTCGGTTGTAACCCACAAATTAGTGAACTAACTAGAATGTACTCCCTTGGTTATAAAAGTTATATTTTAGTAAAAAGCTTCAAAAACCATGTAGTTTTACAAATCATAAATTTTCTTCTGATTTTATAGCATAAATTATGTTTGTTTTGTTAGTTTTGCATTTCAAACTAGTATATATCACAAATAATTATACAAAACTAGTATTAACCATATATGATGCAAATAATATCTTATCTTTAACATAAAGATGAAAACATGTAAATATTTGTGTTATAAACAGAGTTTTACTTGTATCCCCCCAATACTAAAAACATGAAAAAGCTTAAAAATGTGGGGGTGTGAACTCACATTGAGTGGATTTGTGGGTTGTTTGAGAAGATGATGTGAAAATTACAAGCCTAAACTCTTGTATGGAGTTGATGAACTTCTTTGGAGGTGATATTATCCTAAGTGTTTAACACATAATGTTGTGTTTAAATAGGATGAAACTTACATAAAAATGTATGAATACTCTAGATTAATACGAAAATCTTACCGAATTACTAAGAACAAAACTTGAGAAATAAATCCTTCGAGGCTTTGTGCTTAATCTTGAGATAGTTTAGAGTAGAATGAAGGAATGAAAAATTGTGGGGAGTTTGTGGATAATGATCTCATATATATTATAGGAGGGAAGTGTGATAGGAAGTTTGTCTAGTTACCTATTGGTTAAAGCATGGATATTTGTTGGTTAATAAACTGCATGGGAAACTGATGATGTATCTTATCACGAAAGTCATCTATTCTTATCTGTTTCCTTCCCTAGACCAAAATCACTAAGGAAAAGAAGTCAAATGGGTGTTTTCCACCATACATGACCGAAATCACCTTGTTCCCTTGGTGATTTCGGTCCTACACCTCCACTAAGTGTTGTTTTTTGCCTTAATGGATCCCTAGCATGTGTTTTCGGCCTTAGTGGGCTTGTATTGTATTGATTTCGATCTTGGGGTCACTCATGGAAGGGTTTTCGGTCTTTGTAGGTTACTTGGCATTGTATTTTTATTTTGGGAGTTATTCCTTAAAGTGTGCTTTCATTTCTAGTTTGTTGATCCTCAAGGTTAATTATAACAAGGTTTTCTAAGTACATATTATATTAACTTATACAAACAATGCCTTCTTGGTTTGTAGTATTTTATTGCAGCAAATTATGTTGTGAATTTACTTGCATATGGTTACAATTTAGACCTTGCTTGATCCAAATTGTTCGAGTTGTCACAGTTGTGACGAGTGATGCAAGAACGCTGAAGGGGGGTAAGGTGATATTGGAAAGCAAGTTGGTTGAGAATCATTGTTTCAAGGAACAAGTTATGCTCTTGCCGGGTAAACTAGCTTCACTGGAATTGGAGAATATTGGTAATGTGGATAATATAGCAATATTGGACATGGGTGTCCGAAAGCTCAAGGGTGATCTCATGGTTGTAGTGTTTCAGAACACTAATTTACAAGCTAGTTTGGCCGTGTTGACCAAAAGAGTTCAGAAGTTTGAAGAGGATGTGATGTGGGTGTTGTCTGAAGAGATATGTAAGGTGGTTGATAAGGTATTTCCTGATTTGTCATTTTATAATGCAAACCATACATTTAAGTTAATATGTATTCACTTTGTGAAGAGACAAGGTTGTGAGATAATGCACCATGAACACTCTTTTGGTCTTGCTGAAGTTGGGGTAGCCTTTTATGTCTACTCGCTTATAGAGGATGGAAGAAGCTTTTTCAAATTTATTTTGTGGGGATTTCTTTTCGGAGTTTGGTTATCCCGTTGATTTGATTTCCTAGTTAAGATCTTTTATTTCCGGATGTACTGGGGGTGACACATCTATAAGTGGTTGTGGTAATGAGGGTGTGTCATAGGTTATTACGGTTAATTAGCATTGGTATTGTTATGATGGTAGTGGTGTTGGTTTTTTTTTTAGAGATTGACTTTTTCCACCTTGTCTGATTGCTTTGTTTTTTGTTGAATTATGAACTGATGTTTCTTGATATTTTCTTTTCCTTTTCAATGTAAAGTTTCTTGGTTTTGTTCCTTTTTGGTTTTTCTTTGTTTCTCTAGTCTTTTGATTATTTTCTTTAGTGAAAATATGGTTTTGGGTTTTTATTCTCTAGGCTTTAACACGCCTATCTGGTGGAGGTGGTAAAATATGTGGTTCACTATCTTTTTTCCGTCATAGCAGAGTGGTTTTGTTTTTAAGTCATTTTGCATAACACTTGTTTCTTCTTGTATCGAGCGTTGCGATTATGATTAGCATGTGGCTATTACTAGAATTTATGAATGTGTTGGTTACGAACGTTTGTGTGTCTAATTAACTGAGTAACTGTGGTTATTAGTTGTTGCAAACCAAAACTGCAAAACAGTCAGTTAATCAAGCTATAGTTAGATAACTATTGCTTCTTTATTGGTAACCAGGTTGCTTTGATCAATTTCCAATGATCAAAATTTCTAAGTAGTCGGTTGATCGAGATACAACTACAAAATTGTTATCACTTAGTTGGCTAACCAGGTACCCTTGGTCAAAATATTGAATGACCAAAATTTCTAAGTTTTCGGCTAACCGAGCTACGATTAGAAAATTATTGTTGCTTAGTTAGCTAACCGTGTACCCTTGGTCAATATATTGAAATGACCAAAATTTATATGATATCAGCTGACCGAGCTACAATTAGACAATTATTACTACTTAGTGGGCTAAACAGGTACCCTTGGTTAATATGTTCCACTGACCAAATTTTTTAAGTAGTCGGTTGAACGAGCTACAAATAGACAATTAGTGTTTCTTAGTTGGCTAAATGGGTACCCTTTTCAATATGTTGCAATGACCAAAATTTCAAAGTAGTCGACTGACCGAGATACGATTAGACAATTATTGTTGCATTGTTGGCTAAACGGGTAGCCTTGATCAATATGTTGTAACTACCAAAATTTCTAAGTAGTCATTTGACCGAGCTACATTTAGACAATTATTGTTGCTTAGTTGGCAAAATGGGTAGACAATTAAAACAAAATTTCTAAGTAGTCGACTGACCGGGTTGCGTTTAGACAATTATTTTGCTTAGTTGGCTGAACGGATAGCGTTGATCAATATGTTGTAATGACTAAAATTTCTAAGTAGTCGGCTGACCAAGCTACGATTAGACAATTATTGTTGCTTAGTTGGCTAAATGAGTAGCCTTGGTCAATATGTTAAAATAACCACTATTTCTATGTAGTTGGTTGACCCAGCTACGATTAGACACTTATTGTTGCTTAGTTTCCTAAACGGGTAGTCGCAGTCAATATGTTGCAATGACCAAAATTTCTAAGTAGTTGGATGACCGAGCTACATTTTAGAATGAATGGTGCACTAATCATTTCTTCAATGAACCATCATTACAATGATTAAAAGGACATTCACTTTGCTTATACACGTCCACAAAGGTATTGTTCAACGCTTCAAGCTTACTTTGGGATGTTTCCATAATGTATTGCATATAATTGACGTTGTTGCTACCTGGGCATACTTGCTTTGCTTTTGAGGCTCAAGTTCATGTGATTGTCCTGGTTACTTAAGTCCTATCAGTCTGCCTTTTCTTGTTTCCCCATGAGAGAAGGCGCCTTAGCATGGTACTTCCTTTCCCTGTTTCCTGCCATCGACTTCTCCTTTGGTGCCTTGCTTGACAGCCATGCTATAGATGGCCCTTAGATGGTTTTTTTATGGCTTATGCTTTCGTTTGCTTTTCCTCTTATCAATTTTGATTACTAGCTCATCTCTCTCTACTAGTGTAGGGTTTTGTACTACCTTGTTATCCTTAATGAGCAATGATATTTCTATTCTCTTTTGAATACCTGCTACTTCATCCCTCTTTTATCTTCAACATCTTCGTGTTATCATGTTTTTTGTTTACTTTCATTTGCATGGACCATGTGAATTCTCCTATGGTGATTAAAACATCTTGCACTTGTATTGGGAAAGTTTTTTTTTCTTCCCATCATCTCGATATTCTTGCGTAAATTGCTATTTGCCTCTGAAATTGTTGCTTTACCATCTACTTGCTTGTTTTTCTCTTTGTTCCACTCTTCATTTTCTTGCATGATTTCCTGCGTAGGAGTTGGTGTTGTGTATCTTTGGTGGCATGCGATGCTATAAGGATTAACAACTTTTCTTTCATGATTGTGATCTTGATCTATTTTCCTTGCTTTCTTCTTCATAGGTATTGTGCCCACTCCCGGCATGGTGTGAAATTTGACCACTCAATATGTTAAAGATGTTATGACCCTAAACTTGTTCATTTCCGACCTCCCAAATATGATGTTGTATGGTGATGACCCAGGTATGATTACAAACCTTATTACTTAGGTACCAATTTTAAAGTTGTTGTAGTCCACTAGCGTTAGCGACAATGTGATTGTACCTTATGGCAATATGTTATTGCCTACGAAACTTAATAGGTGAGTCTCTGGTGGTTCCATTTTCCTTTGCAACTGACTTGGGGGTTGTCTGTAGAAGTTTTATACATGAAATTTGTAGAACTACCACTATCCATGTATATCAAGTTTATGTGCTTCCTTCCTATTAACGCCCCCAATGTCCAGTGGTTAATCTCCTCAATGGTTTTCGATGTGGCAATCCCATTAATCAAATTTGAATTTGTCTCATCCTACTCGTAGATAACTTCTAGATGTTTTGGTTATCAAAACATGAAATTTTTTCTTTTCTTGGAACTCTTGACTTTGGGTTCTCTAGGGGAAATCCTTTATAGTTGCTTAGACCAGAGTCCTTTTTTTAGGTCACTTAACTACACATCTTGCATTTTGTTTTCCAACGCTCTCTTGAGCGTGGTGCATTTAATTGTATCTTGCCTAGTGGTGTCATGGAACTCGAAATATTTTCTATGTTATCTACCACTAAATGGTACCCCACTTTTGTGCCACTGCTCCTTTTGCCCTCACCTATTACTTCCACTTCATTCCTTGCTCTATTTCTTGTTGGTAAGTAGCTTTGGCTTTGCTGTACAAAATGGGTTTGTCTTTGTGTCCTAGTGTTGCCATATCTTTGATTCTCTTGAGTCGGAGTGTTTATGTAAGGCATATGATTGTCCTTATTGATGTATATCCTTTCTCCCTAATCTCTTTCAATCTTCTCAGATGCTACCTCTTCTTGCCCCATAAAATGGTGGACCCTTTCCATCATGTCTTTCCTTGCCTTGGGCTGCTTGCCAACTAGTTTTTTGAACAAAACTCTTGGACGTAATCTATAAGTGAAAGTGGCAATGACCATATTGTTTGTCCCTTCTGGGGCACTGAGATTTACTTTATTAAATTGGTATAAGAAAGCATGCAATGATTCATCTTCTTGCTACCTACTCCCACGATAGCTTGGGTATCCGCTGTGTACTTTCTTTTATGTATGAAGTGACCCACAAATTCTATTCACAACTGGTTAAAATCATGTATACTTTCCGACGGCATGCTTTTGTACCATAATCTCGGTGGTTCGGACAAGGTAGTTGGAAAAAAGACTTACCAATAACTCTTGTCTAAACAATAGGCATCCATTGTCCATTTATAATTTCCGAAGTGATCATCTGGGTCACTTGACCCGTTGTATTTCAAAATTTAATGTAGGTTCATTCCTATAGAAAACTGGTATTCCCTTATACATTTTATGAGGGTAAGTTATCTGACCATAGGACACGTCAATGGTTAAACATTTATGTTTCTTGCCACATGTGCTTCTTTATTTATTGTCATTGGCACCCACTAGATTTGTAACAGCATTTGGTTTCCAAAAATGGTATGAGGCATGTATGTTGGCTAGGACTGTGCTAGCCAAAATGCTTGATATTGTGCATATGGTAATGGTGGTGGCATTAGTACTTACTGTTGTACATTTTGTTGTGACGATGTTGTTGTTATTGATAAATGTTGTTGTAACAATGGTGATAAGACTTCACAGTTAGTTTGTTGTTCTTATGGGTTGATTTGGATTACCTATTGCATATGTTTGGTTCTCTCATTCTAGAATTGCTTGTTGTTTCTATGGTGACAGACCTTTCTTGCCTTGTTTTCCTTCTTTTTGCGGGTGATTGTCTGTTCAACCATTCTACAGTTTGCACATTTGTCTGAGCAGGGTTATGTGTTGTTGGTAGAGATGGGGTTATCTTCGGTGGTGTGGTGGTTGGTGTTGCTGTTGTATTTGGGGTGAACAGTGGGATTACACTAATTGAACTAAAAGGTGAGTCTAATGAAGGGCACGAGGTTTGCTAATTTATTTGTATGGTTATTACGATGGTGTCAATGTTGCTATATAGCCTCCTAAGGTAGATCCACTTCTACAGATAAAGGAAAACAATGAATCTTCTACATGGGTAAAGTCTCATCAATTGTATATTCGTTATTCTCAATCAATGTCTCATATGGTACATGATATCTTCCATGAAATGTGACTATGATGCGAGCCGCAGAGTACAAACCTCTGAGTCACGCATCATTGCTCATGACCTCCACTTGATCTCTAACTAGAAACTCCATTTTTCTAATGAACGGATTGTATTTGTTATAGACGATCCATCAACCTATTCTCCAATACTTCCAAAAAGTGAACCCTAAGAGGCAATTGTATCTTAGGTAAAGATATCCTTCTATCATCGAAAACAAAACTCAACATCTCTTTGAATTCCAATAAACCATTCATTGTAAGTGCTTTCATTTCAAAATTAAATTCCATTAAATATTGAGCATCAATGTGAATATCCACTAATCACCAAATACCATTCACTTATGGTACAT